TGTCCCCTTGTTCTGTTTGCACGACTGCCTCTTGTTCTATGTACAGGTTCCTCATGAGCACAATCAAGTGTTCTGGAATTTCCATTCTTCACAATGTTATCCATAGTGTGTTAGGATTCACACAGTCGAATGGTTTTGTCAGTAAAGCAGAAGTAAACAGCTTTCTTGTATTGTCTGCTTTTAGTGAAGATTCATCTGATGTCAGCAGTGATAATCCCTAGTTTCATGTCCTCTTCTGAACCCAGCTTGAATTTCTGTCCATTCTCTGTCAGTGTGTTGTTGCAACTGTATTTTAATTACCTTCAGCAAAATTATCAATGATTTCCAAATTCCATTGGGTCTCCTCTCTTTGGAATGGGTACAGTATGGATCCCCTCCAGTTGGTTGGCCTGGTAGCTGTCTTCCAGATTTCTTGGCATAGACAAGTGAGCACCTCCATCAGTTTGTTGAATGATTTCAATTTGCCTTCTGTTAATTCCTGATGCCTTGCCATCAGTGCAGTATGGGCTTCTTCCTTCAGTACCGTCGGTTCTTGATAACATGCTGTCTCTTGAGATGGTTGAACATCACTCATTTCTTTTTGGTACAATGATTTTGTGTATTCCTTCCATTTTTTCTTTTTATGCTTTCTGTATCGTTCAGTATTTTGCTTATTGAAACCTTTAGTTTTCTAAGATGAGGCTTGAGTTTTTGGTATAGTCCTTTCAGCTTCAGAATTCTGAGCATGTTATTATTCCCTGTTGGTTTTCTAGCTCCAAATCTTTTGCATATTTCATCATAATACTTGACTTTGTCTTCTTGCGTTGCCCTTTGAAATTTTCTGTTCAGTTTTTCATCTCTTTTATTTGCTTTAGCTTCTTTAGCACTCAAGAGCAAGTTTCAGAGTCTCTCTTGACATCCATTTTGGTATTTCCTTTGTTTTTCTTTAAATGACCTCTTGATTTCTGTCATACCACAACTCTTGTGGTCTTCGATCAGTAGTGTCAAATGCATCAAATCTGTTCTTGAGATGATCTCTAAATTCAGGTGGGGATATGTTCAAGGTCATATTTTGGCTCTCATGGACTTAATTTTCTTCAGCTTCAGCTTGAACTTGTGTATGAGCAATTGCTGGTCCGTTCCACACTCTGCCCTTGTCCTTGTTTTGGCTGATGGTGCTGACTTCCTCTATTTCTCTTCCAAGGAGCTCTGTAGCATTAGTGGGTTATTAGTCGGGCTGCTAATCTCAAGGTCAGCAGGCTCAGTGCTTTGGCAGTTAGGTAATAATATAATTTGGCAGTTACGTAATGATGTAATTTGGCAGTTATGTAATGATATAATTTGGCAGTTAGGGAATAATATAATTTGGCAGTTATGTAATGATATAATTTGGCAGTTATGTAATGATGTAATTGGCAGTTAGGTAATAATATAATTTGGCAGTTATGTAATGATG